ATCCATCCATCCATCCATCCATCCATCCATCCATTCATCCATCCAACCATCCATGTGCAAAGAACACTCAGCCTTATGTTTAAAGTTTTTAAAAATTAACATTGAGTCACAAATTTTTTTTATTGGTTATAGCATTTCTCATTCTGGTTTTTAAATGATTGGCTTACTGTTGTTGAGTTAATTGCAGCGATCTACCTCCCTTCTACTATTGGCCATTTAAATTATTTGTAATACTTGCTATTTTGCATAATGATATTTATATACCTCTAATTTTTTTCTCCTATTAAATTACTTCCTGGGGAAAAATTCTAGAGAAGAAAGGATATAGGTAAAATAGTATTCTGTGTTGGTTTCTTTTAAAAAAAAATAGATTTTTAAATGCTGAAGTTCATCACAGATTTCATGGTGTTCTGTCCATAAATCATTCAGGAGGGGATCCTGAAATATCAGAACACTGTCTAACTGCCAAGATAGCATTGTTACCACCAAGAAAATGGACAGCAATCCCTTTACGTATTGTCTAATACTCAGGCCACATTCAAATGTCTCAACATTTGAGACATCTAATACTCAATGCTCTTCACAGGGGGTTTGTCCACACCAGATGGCATTTGAGAGTCACACATTGCTCAACAACAAGCAGCTCTTAAATTCTGAAACTTGAAACAGTCCCTTTCTTGTGACATTGACTTGCTGAAGAGGATGGATCGGTGGCTCTTTGGTCTTCTAGAAGAGGCCTTTTAGGGTTTGGGTTCTTGACAGAGGCTGCTGTAGATTTGACAGGGTGTGCTGTCCTAGCTCCTAGCCTCAAAAGCAACCGTCCCACAATTGCATGATCACAGCTTCAAGACCCACCTATGTGCTGTTGAAGAGGGTTTAGTTCACTGGCTTGTTGTCATGCTAGATGAAAAAGGATGAAATGGTCCATCAAGCACACTTTAAGTCACATTTCTTGATTATAAGAGAGGATTTTCCCTACATGTTTATTTGCCACTAGTGGTTCTAATCCAATCCCTGTTTATAAGCTGAATTAATAGTCTGTGTTGTAAAGGACCTGTTGAGTCTGTTAAGAGTCATGGAAAAAAATCTGGAAACAGAATGGCTATGGCTGAACAATGTGATAGAAAGATGACAGACCTGGAACATGTTACTGAACTGTGCATGGAGGGATGTTAAATGGCACGTGCTTTATTAAATATATATGTACCATCATCAACACAAGATTTTCATTGTGTTGGTGTTTTTTTGATTTGTTTGCTTTTAAATGATTTTCTTTATATGAAATTCAGGGTGGATAAATCTATAGAAATGAGATGAGTAGTTTCATGGAGTTTTGACAGGGGAGGTTTGGGGGAAATGGGGAGCTAACAATAATGGATACAAGAACGAAGAAAATGTTCTAAAAATGATTGTAGTGAGGAATGCACAACCTTTCTTTTTTTTAAGTCATTTTATTGGGGATCCATTCAACCCTTATCACAATCCATCCATCCATCCATCCATCCATCCATTGAGTCAAGCATATTTGTACATTTGTTGCCATCATCATTTTCAAAACATTTTCTTTTTACTTGAGCCCTTAGTATCAGCTTCTCATTTTTTCCCTCCATCCCTCTACCCTCCCTCCCTCATGAACCCTTGATAATTTATAAGTTATTATTATTTTTTCATGTCTTACACTGACCGTTGTCTCCCTTCACCCACTTTTCTGTTGTCCATTGCCCTGGGAGGGGTTTATAGATAGATCATTGTGATCAGTTCTCCCTATCTATCCCCACCTTCCTCTTACCCTCCTGCTATGGCTACTCTCAATATTGGTCCTGAATGGTTTATCTCCTGGATTCCATGTTTCCAGCTCTTATCTGTACCCATGAATAAGCTCTGGTCTAGCCAGATTTATAAGGTAGAATTGGGGTCATAATAGTGGGGAGGTGTAGGGGGATGAAGCTTTAAAGAACTAGAGGAAAGTTGTATGTTTCATCAGTGCTGTGCTGCACCCTGGCTAACTTGTCTCCTCCCCGTGACCCTTCTGTAAGGGGATGTCCAGTTGTCTACTGATGGGCTTTGGGTCCCCACTCCGCACTCCCCCTCATTCACAATGATACAATTTTTTGTTCTGAGTCTTTGATGCCTGATACCTGATCCTATTGACACCTCATGATCACACAGGCTGGTGTGCTTCTGCCATCTGGGCTTGGTTGCTTCTCAGCTAGATGGCCACTTGTTTATCTTCAAGCCTTTAAAACCCCAGATGCTATTATCTATTGATAGCCAGGCACCTTCAGCCTTCTTTACCACATTTGCTAATGCACCCACTTTGTCTTCAGCGATCGTGTTGGGAAGGTGAGCATCATGGAATACCAGGTTAGTAGAACAAAGTGTTCTTGCATTGAGGGAGTACTTGAGTAGAGGCCCAATGTCCATCTGCTACCTTAATACTAAATCTATAAATATATGTACATAGATCTATTTCCCCATCATCATATATAAGTATATTTACATATGTACATGCCTGTATTTAGACCTCTATAAATGTCCTTTGCCTCCTAATTCTTTTCTCTAGTTCCTTTACTTTCCTCTTGTCCCACTATCATGTTCAGCCTTTATTTGGGTTTCAGAAATTCCTCTCATTTACATTGCCCTTGATCAAGCCTACCAGGCCTCCTACATCCTCCTCGCCATCATGACAGAGCAAAACAAAGCAAAAAAACAAGACAACAACAACAACAAAACCATTACCACCAACAAAAAATGCCTATAAGTAGTTCAGGGACTTTTTATTGACCTGTAGGAGTATTTTCCAGTCGAGTCTGATGGGGTGCCATGCCCTGGCCCCAAAGTCTATTTTTGGTCTTCCCTCAGGACTTCCTTGCTCTGCTCCCCTTGTTGTTCTGTTGCATGCCCTTAGTGTTTTGCCTCAGTGTGGTGGGGTCAGATACCCACACAATTCCCGCACTGTGTCTCCAGTGGTGTCCCCTGTAGCACTGTGGGTCAGTGAGGGACATCGTGTCTTATAGTGGGGCTGGCCATATGGTCCTCTCTGTGTATTGGCTGCTCTGAGCAGGAATATCATCCCCATGGTTTGGTGGGCCAGGATGTGTTCCACTCTCTCTTCCTCTCCCTTCATTTGCTCTTGTGTGCTCTGATCAGACATGTCCCTCTCCCTGAGCTAGAGCGTAAGTGCTGTCCTCTGAAGTGAATTCTTCTGGGGGAAGGGTGACTGAGTGGACTATCCATGTAGTTGGGATTGGGGCTGGCCCCTCAGACCTCTCTATTGGTTCCCTGCTTCATGGAATGCACAACCTTCTTTGATATATTTAAACCACTGAATTGCATATGTAAATTATATCTCAATAAAATGGTTAAAAATAAGGTTTTGTATTTAAAAAATCAAGAAGAGTATAATATTATAACACATATGAGTATAGTATTATATATAACACATATTATAAGCTTATGTGAATCCATCCTGATTCCGGTTCTAATATGACATTTGAGTTTATATTGGGCTGCTAACTGTAAAGCTGATAGTTCAAACCCACCAGCCACTGCTTGGAAGATATGTCAGGCTTTCTACTCCCATAAAGATTTATAGTCCCATCCCCACCCCACTCCCAGAAGAATGTGCTTCAGAGGACAGCCCTGAAGCTATAGCTTGGGGAGAGAAGCACACCTGATTAGAGCACATAGGAGAAAGAAAGAGGAATGGAGAGTTAGGGGAACATATCCTGGCCCGCCAAGGCCCGAGGATGATATTCCCGCTCACAGCAGACAATGCACAGAGAGGACCAAAGGGCCGGCCCCACCTTGAGACACAATGTCCCTCACTGAACCATAGCACTATGGGGCACAGCACTGGAGACAGTGCCGGAATTGTGCCTGATCTGACCCTATCACATTGCGGCAAAACACGAAGGGCATGCAACAGAGGAGCAAGGGGAGCAAAGCGATGAGATCCCTGTGGAATACCAAAAATAGACTTTGGGGGCAGAGTGTGGCACCCCATCAGACTCAACTGGAAAACACTCCTAAAGGTTAAAAAACAGTCCTGGAACTATTTATAGGCTTTTCCTTTTTTCTCATTGACTTTCTTTTTGTTGTTATTTTGTTTTTGTTTGTTGGTATTTTGTTGGTTTTGTCTTCCTTTGTTTGGCTTTGCCTGGTTTTTGTGCTTATTAATGTCTCTACATGTCTATCTAGATAAGATCGGAGGGATAAATAATTCGGAGATGAAAACAATGGGACCGATGGTTCTGGGGGAACACAGGAGAAGGGGAGGTGGGAGAAAGGAA